TCAAGACATTGTTGCATTTGAAGATTCTCGATTGGTGAGAACAAGAGCAGTTCGGCTACGTGCAAAGGAGTTTGAGAAAGAACTCTTGATTGGACTAGAAATCCTTCCTGATTCCACGAAGAAAGCAGCAACACATGGTTCAATGAAAGTCAAGCTACGTGAACTACCTTCACCAGAAGTTCTTCCTTTCAAGGTGATAGATGCTGAAGCCAAAGAAGTGATGGACTACCATGAAGCCCATCCAGATAGTGACGAAGAGTACACGCCTAGTGTCGGAGGCAGGGCAGATGACAGAGAAGCGCAAGATGAGAGTGCATCGAAGAAGGCCCGAATAGATGACGGACCCGGTCGTGGAAGCAATGAGCCTATGGATGCAAATTATGCAGCAGAAGACAAGAAGCATGGACTAGAAGACAAAGAAGAGCAACCTCCCAAGCACTACAAGCACAGCGAGGAGACTACAGAAAGATCACCCAAGCGGAGAGAACTACATTCCCCAACATGGGCAGGAAACATCAACATGGTGGAAGAGAACGACGACATGTATGTGAATGAGCAGATAGACCTCTTGGAGGCATGGACCTTTGACCTCGAACATCACCCAGAGCTCGAGGTGGAGATGGACACAGATGAGAAGTCATTTGGTGATCGAGCTGAACGAGATGGACCTCCTAATGTGAGTGAAGATGAACTCAATGAACTCGACAGGAAAGCAACGCTAGAAGAAATCAGCAGACTGCAGCAACTTGAAGTTCTAGCAGTGGCAGAAGATGCATCAAATGAAGAACCTCTTTTGTTGGACTCCACATGTGTTTTCGACTGGAGATTCAGAGGAATGTGGAAAAGAAGATGCCGGATAGTTGCACGAGAATACCGCACAGGCAACACAGATGAGAACCAATTTAGCCCAACACCCGCAGGCTTCACGATGAGATTGATTTTGGTTCTTGGAAAGCTTTTCAACCTATGCTTGTTTGTGGCAGACATCAAAGATGCTTTTCTTTCAGTCAAGCAGCGAGAGTTAGTTGAAGTGATTGTACCCAATTGGGTAAGAGACCTAGCGCAAGGAGAACAAGCAAACAATCCCTTGCTGACAGCAGAACGCTGGAGATTACTCAAATGCTTACCAGGACAGAGGAATGCAGCTTTGAGATGGAGTGAACACTTCAAGGAGTTGGTTGAGAAGGTGAACTTCGAAAGCTACAAAGGAATGCCAACAGTATTCAAGCATTCCACAAGAAAGAAGTTTTTGATGATCCATGTGGACGATGTTTTGGTGGCAAGCGGAGTCGAAGACTGGACATGGTTCAGCAAGATGGTGAGAAAGCAGCTGACCATGAACGCCGAAGGACCCTTTGAGTACGGCAGCAACAACACCTTCTACTACCTGAAGAAGAAAGTGGTCTTGGCAAGGCAGGGAATCTTTGTACAACCAAACCCTTCCTACATCAAGAAGATGGTAGAGCTACTTGAACTACATGGAAAGAAGACTAAGACACTACCACACCGCAGCAACCTCGAGGTGTACGACAAGGACAACATCAAGGAGCATGAACGACTCAATGCGGAGGACCAACGAATGTTCCGATCTGGTTTGGGGTTGGCACTCTATACATAGCACAGGATCGACCAGACATCCAACAATCTTTGAAAACTTTGTCAACCTACATGGCTGGAGGAACGAAGTTGGCATACACAGCTTTGAGACACCTTGGAAGTTATCTTCAAAGAACACAAGATGCCGGAGTTTTGTTGACACAACCCAAGCGATTTGGAGTGACAAGTGACCATTGGGATTTTCCTGAATGGAGCAACAGAGAAGACAGAAAGAATTACAACCTCGAAGTCTTCACGGATGCCAATTGGGCAGGATGCAAGGTAAGCAGAAAGTCAACAACATCATACATGGTTTTCCTGAACGGCAGCCTACTTGTTAGCTCATGCAAGCTACAATCCTCAATAGCACTTTCCAGTGCAGAATCAGAGCTTTACGCAAGTTGCAGTGGCGTTGCAGAGATGCTACATGTTGGAAGCCTACTGAAATTTCTAGTAGGAGCCAATGAAGTTCAGATGACAGCTTTCAGTGACAGTTCAGCAGCCCGAGGAATCATGCAACGAGCTGGACAGGGTAAACTGAAGCATATTCACATCCGCAACCTTTGGATCCAAGATCTTGTGAGAGAGAAGATAGTGAGATCGCTGAGAGTTCCCACAGCAATCAATCCAGCAGACTTGAACGCAAAGAAGCTATCACAAGAGAGGCGAAAGAAGTTGATGAGCCTATCTCAAGAGAAGTGACCCAGAAGACTATTCAGAAGATCTTGAGAGTGATTTTAGCTGGAAGCACATGTTTCTTGCAAGGATGTACAAACCTGACACTGCAATCAGGTGAGATGACGGTGAACGATATCATCGCGATCAGAAACTTGGTGATCTTAGCATTGACGCTCTTGATCGTCTATTTGACGAACGCACTACGGGTACAACGACATCGACTACAGTTCACTGAGGAACTATATCGAGAACTACCCCGACGACTTCACGACTACAGAGATAGCAGCTCTTCATCGACCTCAACGTCACAAGAGAGTGGACCTTTTGTCTCAGGACTGACAGAAGGCAGACCTCGACGAACAAGGCAGAGAATGACGCCTGGAGAAGCAACGCGACTTGGAATACGACCACCAAGAGCGCCTGGACTACTTGCAGAACTAGGCGAACAATTTGTAGATCTACAAGGCATTTGGGCCAATGTGAACTCAATGAGGTACGAAGGAGGCCTAGCACAGATCTTTCCACTATACCAGTCAGAGGAAACAGTGGAGAGAGAACCTATGAGGCCACGATTCAAGAACAGCAACAGCGAGAAGAAGCAGTTCCTGAAGAACCAGAAGAGCCTAGTCCAGAGGACACCTTGATGCAACCAGGTACAGGTACAAGATTCGATTTTTCGCACAGACTGGTCAAAGTCATGGAGAAGAACATGGTGACACAGAAGAAGGAGATGAAGGACCTCGACGCCGAGTACACCACGAAGCATCACATGGAGCAGCAAACCCTGATGGAGAAGATGACCGAGCGCATCAAGAAGGATAACAAGATCTACAACATGTTTTCAGAACGGTCGACGGTGACTTCATTCTTTGGACATGAAGAAGAAGAAGAAGAAGTCCGACCACATCCCGGAGGAGAACGACCACATCACGGAGGAGAACGACCACATCACGGAGAAGATCAACCACATCCTGGAGGAGAAGTTCGACGAGTTCAACGACGACTACCAGATCCCCCTGATCTCGGACGAGGACGTCATGGACATGGAGGAGAAGATCATGACAGTGGACCAGAGGAGTTGACACGGTCAAGCAGTGAACAAGCAGACCATGACTGGGAGCAAGAAGGAGACCGCATTGCAGAAAGAGAGCAAGCAAGGAGAAACCACAAGGTGGACATTGAGAACATGCACTGGCAGATGCTGGAGCATTCTTCACAAAGGCTGGGACACATCCTAGCAGATGGATCAGAAGAGACGAACAACGAGGAACTGGAGAGAATTGTTCCTTCGAGACCAGAAGTTTTCAGCTGGTACAGAGAGCAACTACTGCTGATAGGAGAAGGAGTGGAAACGCACTTGACAATTGCAGCACGAGAACTTTCCCGCTTCATCAACACGATCCTGGATGAAGCAATGAATTAACGAGGCAGAGTACTCAATGGTGATATGATGGGACGACTCTTTACTTTGAGAAATGAGATGCTGGCAGCAATCGAAGATTGCCAGACACCAGAAGGCTACAGGCGAAGCATTCTGTTCGCCAAGAGATTGCAGAGACTTGAACGAGAAGCAATCCAACGTGGAGCTGATGCAGCAGCAGCAGAACATCCAGATGAAGAAGAAGCTGAAGCAGCAAGACAGGAATTCATCAGACAACACACCTTAGGAGAAAGAACTGAGCTTGGCAACCAAGATGACAACAATGCACTACTTCGATATCTACCACCTGAAGCAGATGCAGTTGACAACGACGTGACCATGGAGTATGTGGACGTGGACGACATCAACGTCATCGAGATTGGCAATTCGAGTGGCAGTGATTCAAGACAAGCTGACAGAGAACCACAGGCAATGATCCACTTGAGTGATGGAGAAGAAGAGGAACACGAAGATCCAAGAAGCGAAGCCAACGATGAGAACCAACAACCATAAGAAGGAGAACTGAGAGCCATAGAAAGGCATTTTAATTTGTAGGCCTGTTTGAGATGCTAACTCGCAGTATATAAGTCCTACAGAAGATGAACAAAGGTTCAGCGAGCCTAGAACGCCTCGCTGAAAGGCAGGGTGTCAGACTTCACTGCAGACACTCATGACCTGTTTTCATGAACACGAGAGCCCAATACCGCAGCGGCTTTCATGACTCAAGCCGAGTGGTGAAAAGGTTCGCCACTATGTTTGACAAAATTATATTTGTGGGAACTGGTTGGGCACCGCAAGATACCGCAAATACATATTGATGCCTCCACTTTGCACATCAGCGTTTCTGGACTCTAGTTACTATATAGTGGGCGGCATACATATAAGGAAGATAGACGCGCTTTTGAGACTTCGAAATAGCCAGTAGTCCATATTTTTCAAGGAAAGACTGTAGAGAGCCTTTCAAAACCAAAGCGAAAAGGGCAGCATCCATCTTCGAGGAGTTGTATACGATAAGTGCGGTGGTGGGATCTTTATATGAATCATGTGGTGAATCATGTATGATTATGTTTGTTTTGTCTGTTGAAGCGTTTGAAATGAACAGCCAAGCTTGTTTGGGACAAGAGCATGCCAGAAATGTGTTCAAAAGAAACCACACGGGGCCTGCGGGGAGCCAGCATTCTGTTTCGTGATTTGTAATGCTACTGTACAATAAATGTATCAATCAATGTATCCATTGCCTCCAACTCTCGTCGTAGAATGTGGGAAGAGACTTGCCTCATGTTGATCAAGCTGTGGCACATGGCAGGAGTCTACAACGGGGTGGTATTTGTATCGATTGGCAGCAATAGATGCATCGATGTGACACTGAGCCGAAGACTGCCCACCTTTTTGTGGTGTCAGATTGCTTGTAGCTGGCTGGTGGAAAAAATATGATTGAATCTTTGTGAGTCACGCAGGACAAAGTGAATCGGGTGTGGCCTGGATGACTTAGGATTTTAGACTAACCTACTAGCGATGGCCTCCAACAAATCACAGATGCATATTGGAACTTGGACCTACCTTCTCAGGTCACACACTGTGCGATCGTTTGTGCAGCCCTTAGTAGCTCATGCATTCTATATAGTATATTCTTATAATTTAATATATATATATATATACGTATATATACATATGTATATAGATGTTCAGCGCAAACAAAATATTTTCTGCCCGTTTCAGCTTGGTAGCGCCGATGTGCTTGGAAACACACCAAACTTGCGGCTCTATGGCAAAACTTTTTGAGCCTATGCACAAGAGATCACAAAATGGTACAGTACTTGAAGCTGAGCGAATGAACCTTGGTCAAGATGGTATGGGAGCACTACCTCTGCAATATGCTACCTACTATGACTATGATATGCATATTGGCTTCGGACGCCACAGCAACAGATGACAAAACAGATGCCAGGAATCGACTGTGGCAGTCGGGGCTCCTACCTGCGGTCCGAAGAGGCGCCATGAAAGAACTCTGGAGATGTTCATTGGGTCGGCAGCTGGGTTATCTGGTTATCTTGGGTCGAAGCATCGCTTGGCAATTCGCCAAATTGTTGCCAACAATTTTGGTTGGGGCAGATGTCACTTTGCCAGGCGTGGATGTGGACTCACCAGCTGCGCTCTTACGTCGGGGCCTTGGTGATTTGGAGTGAGAGCTGGAACATGAGGCCAAAAATGTCCACGTTCGATCTGATTTGATTGTTTTGGTTGAAATCAGGTTGATCCAGAATCATGCTTACATGATCTGACAGTGATATGAGATTACGTGGAGCACCTCATTCGATTCGGACATCGGATCAGGTGGAAGTCCTTTGTCGCATGAGGCTTCTGAATTGATGGAAACCAGATTGCATTTCGTTGAACATCGTTGAACCAATCTAGCCGAGTCATGCAGACAGGCAAACCCGAATACTTCATCCCACTCTGTGCAGTTTGGAGTCCGGTTCACAGTAGCTGCTGCGGTTTCTAAGAAGTTCGGCCACCTATTATTTCTGTCAGCCATGCGCTGACCTCAAGTTTGTGCAATTCATATGAGCAACATTATGTTTTCGTAGTCGTGTAATCATGTGTGCGGAGCATTTGGTCCTGCGAAAGCTTGGGATCGTTCATCGTGTAAGCATGTGTAAGCACCCGACACTGCTGCAACTTGACTACGTCGAAAGCAAATCGCACAATCAACATATTTGTTCCCGAGAGCGTCTGCGAAGGGTTCTTCGTAAAAAAACATCTGCAGAACTACGTCTCATCTACATCTTCACATCTTCACCTCTGCACATCTACATTGTCACCTATATCTCTGCTCATCTTCACATCTACATTCACATCCTCACATCTACATCACATCTATATCTGCTCATCTTCACATCTACAATCACATCTGCGCATCTACATCTCTGCTCATCTTCACATCCTCACATCTACATCTCTGCTCATCTTCATCTTCACACATCTACATCTCTGCTCATGTTCACATCTGCACATCTACATCTCTGCTCATCTTCACATCCTCACATCTACATCTCACATCTTCACCTCTCGCTCTTCTTTACTTTCTCTCTTAAGGCCGGGGGCGGTGCCGCCAGAGCACCACGAAACACAACCCTCTGCGGAGATCGCGCGTGTCGAGGGCGCGAAATGCAGGCGAGAGTGCGATTTGGTTTTGTCCGGCGCAACCCTCTGCGGAGATCGTGCGTGTCGAGGGCGCGAAATGCAGGCGAGAGTGCGTTTTGGCCCAGTCTGGCGCAACCCTCTGCGGAGATCGTCCGTGTCGAGGGCGCGAAGTGCAGGCGAGAGTGCGTTTTGGCCCGGTCCGGCGCAACCCTCTGCGGAGATCGCGCGTGTCAACTTTGCAGTACAACTTTAGTACGCGGAGCAATCCGTGGAGCTGGAAGCTGAGAACTGGCGACTTTGTAGTACAACTTGAGT